TTCATCATGCCCCCTGTAGACGCTAACAGTGCTAATGCAATGGAGAGCTTGGGAGATGGGAGCCGCTGCCTAAAACTGAAAGGACAAATGAGATACATGCCAGAGTGGGAGTCCATCATCTTCCTGGGAACCCCTGTGTAAGCACCCCCCCCCACACACGCGCACGCACACGCACACGCACACGCACACGCACACACACACACAGATCTTTATTAAAACGCCGCAGTTGAAAAGTAAAACATTCTAAAAAGCAGCAAGAGCTAAACTGAATTACGAGGCTGGAAATAAAACCCTGGGCAGTGAATCAAATCAGGGGGCCATTCTAACAGCACTTACCATGCATGAAATGAGCTGCTAATTAGCTTGTAATCAGACAGTGCAGCTCTTGTGAGCCTAATGGGAACCCATTTGCAACCAAGAGTGTTTTCCAGCGAGTACATTACCAAAACATCTCCCTCCTTTTCTGTAAACATTTTGTTTTGCAAGCACATGCCCTTATGCATGTGTTGACAAAATTAGCACTATGTAAAATGCCACATCACATGAATTAATAATGTATACTTAAACTAAAAATAAGATCCATTACAAATACTGTATTTTAATGACCCAACGTTTTTTAATCAATACCGCTATTTCAATATAGGTTCAGTATTATATTACCACATATCATAAGCATCATCAATGTTGTAATTGGCCTTTCCTTTTCCTTTAACTGTCTGTTCGTGTGTGTAGGATGGAAAGTCTGAGTGCTATGTTTAAGACGGGGCTGTACATCAATGACCTGAGCATGCACGACTCCAGCAGAGACCTGGTGCTGGCGGGGACGCAGCAGTCAGAGGAGCTGAAGAGAGCTCTCATACAGGTTCACTCTGCCGACGTGCATCTGCATTTTATACGTGTGATCATCTCACTTGACGCTCTGCATAATGCAAAGTTGTTCTGAAGCCCTTCTTTCAGTCTGGCAGCCACAAGTCAGTCACCACCCGCAGACTTGAGATGAAAGAAAGAGATGCAAACTAAAAGTGTTATTCTGTCTTACTCCCCACTGTGACACAGGAGCAAAAGAAGTCGAGTAAGCTGGAAGAGAGCATGAAGATGTTGGACTATGAAATGAAGAAGACTGATGACCTCCTGTACAGGATGATTCCCAAGCCAGTGGCTAAAAGACTGCGCAAAGGAGAGCCGGCTGTGAACACTTGTGAGGTCAGGAATGTAAATGATGCCACTCTGTGTAAATAAATACACTGTTCACCTGTGATTTAACACCACAATCTACCAAAAACAAGACAGTCTTTCTTTGAAACAATGTAATAGGAGATTGATACCGCTCTCATGGCTTTACAGAAAGTATGGAGGCAAGCTTAGCAAGAAACACTGTAAACAGGGGGAACAGATAGCTTGGCTTTGTCCCAAGGTAACAAAATCCTGCTGTTTGGCAGATTTTGTTATCTTTGGACAGGGCCATACAGTATGTTCCCCACTGTTTCTAGTCCTGCTAAACTAAGCTGAAGCTGTACATTTATACTCATTGTACAGGCACGAGAAACATGTAAATATCATACTTCTCAAATAATCTTGAACCCAGAAGCACCAAATATCTAAAACTTTGGCTCGATTGTTTGATTAAAAGTTAAGTCCTGCATCAAAGGGTAAAAACTGTTTTCTTCCTTCATTTCTGAATCTAAGAACTATATGAACTATATGAGTGTGTTCAGTCAGCAAGTCGCTATGTACCATGGTACATAGCGACTTGCTGACTGAACACACTCATCAACTCCCTTATGTCTTTTCTGCCAGGTGTTCCCAGATGTTACCATTCTCTTTAGCGACGTTGTTGGATTCACTCGCATTTGCAGCCACATCACACCAATGCAAGTTGTCTCCATGCTGAACACCATGTACACGCTGTTTGACACGCTCAGCGAGAAGCACCGCGTCTTCAAGGTTTGTGCGTGATTTTAGTTTTATCACACTTTGTATGTTAGAGCTGCTGATACAAGCTGCCGTTCTTTACTTATCTAGGTTGAAACTATTGGAGATGCATACATGGTTGTGGCCGGGGCTCCGGAGAAGACCAAGTATCATGCTCACAACATCTGTGACATGGCCCTGGACATGGTGCGCTCCATAGATCACCTGAAAGACCCGTCCAACGGCAACCACATACAGATTCGTGTTGGTGCGTACAACGAGTGTGGATCTGTTTGTGTGTCTGTGTTTGACTTTGAGTGTTGTAAGCTTGTGGTTCTGGTTGCAGGGATCCACTCAGGAATGGTGGTGGCGGGTGTGGTGGGACACAAGATGCCACGTTACGGTCTCCACGGTGACACGGTGCACACTGCATCTGCCATGGAGAGCAATGGAAAGGTAGGGAAGTTATGCCTAATGTACATATGATGACTACAGTCAAGAGTTTCTGTGATTTTGTTTTAATTGCCTGGTCTTCCTTTATCTCACTCAGGAGATGCACATTCAGCTCAGCAGCGCCACCTACGAGCACCTGAAAGGAAGTCACTTTATTTTTGAAAGGAGGGGCACCATAACCATTAAGGTCAAGAGTCAAAACTGTAAACTACACTCGCCACATTTGATTGATCTTACCCATCCACTATGACAACGTGTGATAATATGATTTGGTGTCGAACATATGAAGAACACACAGCAGCGATCTAAACATTGAAACTGTAAGCTGTGTTAACGGAATAGTTTGTGCATCAGCAGTCAGACATAGTAAACATTTCTGAATCTAAGAACTATATGAAATAATAATAACCCCCAATGTTTGGCTCTGGGGAGTCTACACAATTAGTATTCAGAGCTGGTAATTGCTGCTTGCTTGTTGATTTGTCAGTCTATTTTATCGCTGGGTCTGACTCTGAGGCCGTACGTTCAATGATAAAGCCAGCAAAGTGACTCCTAAAGGTTCCTGAGGCAGCTGATTACAGGTGCCAATTTCGAGTTAGCAAGAGCGACTCATTTTTCATCAGGGAATTCTGATTATTGGAAATCTGCCACATGCCATTTCCCTCCTCTCTATAACAGAAATGGTGCCTTCCAGAATGTGTCTTTGAATATTTGCTTGTAAGTCAGTCCCCTTTAAGTCCAAACCTGAATCTTAACGTTTATCACTCTCTGTCTATTTTTAGGGGAATGTTGAAATTGAGACCTACTGGCTGAAAGGACAGAGGGACAAAGACGGGAACGCTCAGGCGGCGTGTCCTCAGTTTGGGACCCAGACCATCAGCAATGCCAACATCTCCGGCCCTGAGGCCAGAAGAGATGAGGAGGGAATGGTAATGATTAAACCAAGACATCCTTGAATGGTTAACACTCTAATTTGCTTCATTGCCACCATCATTATCATCCTCTCTGATTCCCTGAGTCCCCTTCTGTCTTTACCCCCAGGGTCCCACATTGGTGGCAGGGCGGGACAAAGATGATGTGAAGTCTATTCGCTCTCATTGTATCAAGATGGAGATTACAGGCCATTCTCTGGGGTCCATGGAGGAGCACCGTGTGGAACAGATGCCGGGTCATAAGGTGAGTGGGATTTAAAGATTCAAGGCTTTTATTGTCATGTGTACATAGCTACAGTCTAGATATCAATGAAAATCTTAGGTCACAGGCTCCTCCGACAATGCAACACAATAAAACAAATAAAATAGAATATAAATATTGCAAGGAGAATCTATATACAAGTAATTGGAATATGATATTAGATAAATAATTTGTAAGTTGCAAACTGATGATTGTTATGGATGTTCTTTCAAAAGTTCAGGTGTTTAACAGTCTTATGGCCTGTGGGATGAAACTGTCCCTGAGTCTGGTGGTTTTAGACCTGATACTGCAGATTTATAAAGACTCATAGATTCGACAATAACTTCTTTTGAATGTTCTTCTAATCCATACCCTTCACTCGGTTGATCTTCTCTATTAGTGCCATTGTTATTGGTGCGATAAGACAATCTGTTCCTTCCCCAGTCTCACTATAAGAATGCTTTGCAGGACGGCCTCCAGGACGCTCACCTTGAACTGAACTCCCCTGAGTCCAACGGCAGAGACTCCATCATTGAGTCCCCCGACAGCTCCTGTGAATCCCCCTGCTCCAAGAGTGCCACGTGCGCCATGTCGTGAACCCAACGCATGCTTGCTGAGGCTCTAACCAGTACTTCAGTTAAATGTTACGTTTCTACAACTCTCTGAATGTCAATGTCTTATGACAATTTGTTTGTATATGGCCTAGTCTGTAATGCTTGAAAATGTTAGCGGCCTTGCGTGGTGTTATGTTGCACAGTGAAATCAACAGTGCTTAATTTGCTCTGACAATACAAAAATAAATCACAACATCATTGTTAATTTCACACTAGATCAGTTTAAGTGAGCAGCTGCTTATCCAATAATTACCTCACACGAGTCCATTCAAAGCAATTGTCTCTAAAAGTTTGTTGTGTACCCATAACATGTTTTTAAACCAAGAGTGGTCACTGCCACGCAGTTCAGATGGACACAAGCTCAGTAATATCTATTGTTCGGCTGCACATTGTACATTTGAGATCTCATTTCATCCTAGACATCACTTTGTACCTCTCCTCTATCCCTCTTCGCTTCTTCATCCCGAACGTCTAGATTCATTGTTCTATATCAGTCTCGTCAAATACACAGCCACAGCTCAATGTAAATGTTGTCAGCTCGGTGAAAATAAAGTGAGCTGAGCCGTGTGTGCATCCCTTTGTTATTGTTTGTCTTGTCACTCAAAGGCACTGGCATTCAGACTCATGGTTATACATTTATTTTACACTTTTCTTTATTGTACACATTTCTCTATGGAGATATGGATATGTTTATATTGTACCTGCACCCAATGCACTTGTATTTGAGCTTCAAAATGAATCATACTCGCATTTTTGCTGATTATCTTTTGTCATAAAACCCTGTTCCTCTTCAACCATGGCTCTAACCCACGGACAAATCAATATGAAATTCAATTTGAGAGTACAAGCAATGTTTCAAATTTCACACATGGTTTATGGAAGGTTAAAACTCTCTGCCTCACAGTGCACATACACTACTAGGACAGTGTGATGCTGACACAAAAACATTGATAGACAGTCGAATGGCCATTATTCTGGTCCAGCGAACCAATCAGACAATGTTCCCTGCTGATTGGTTATCAGAAGAACTGCACTTGTAGGTGGTGTCCTCGCGCTCTTGGCTGTATTCGTTGGCTGCGTGCGAGTCTTTAGGTATTGAACTGATGGAGCAGTGGAAGCAGAAGGTGTAGAAAAAGACGTGCAGGAGTAGGAAGCAAACAAGAGAAAAAATGATGACAATAAGGATGTTGTGCACTTGCATGTGCGCCTCCTCCCATGGGAGCAGTGTGGGGGTGGTCAGGAGGCCAGAGGTGGAGTTGTAACCGGGTGCAGGGGGTGTCATGGAGGGCAGGTGTGCGACTTCTGACATGATGGACATCCTTAGTGGCTTGAAGATACTGTGAAGCAGCTTTAAGGAGAAACACATATTGTAGTTTGGATTATAACAGACGTAACACTAATATTAATAGGACACAGGGGTCATTCTTTTATTAAAGTGGATTCAAATATGATATGTCAACCTGTGGAGAACATCAGATGAGAACAAAAGGATAACAAATAATGACTTTGATTGTATCTATTCTCCCTACAATAATAAGCCATGTTACACAAAATAGTTAGTCATCTAAGCAACAAAACTTCCCAATATGTTTAATTAACCTGCTGCTATTCACCAGGTTGATTACGTTTTTTTACAGACAGCCAAACACGGAGGTGTTTCTTTGTTCGTACCTGGAATGTGTTGCGGTCCAGTCTCTCTGAGCAGGTTTTCTTTTGATGAGCAGAGCTTGGGAAAATGAAAGAAATGGAGGACAAGAGAGGGAGGGCTGGACTACAGAAGAGAAGTGGCTGCCAGATCACAAATAACAGGGAGGGTTACCATGGCAACACCTGCGTAAAGGCCACTTGCTTGGAAGTGACATTATATCACATCACATAATATGAGGAACGTGTACAAATGGAGATATTAGGAGGAATTAACAGACGACAGATGAGTAATTGGTTTGAAACAAGTACAGAACTAAAGTTACAATATGTACACATAAAGTCTAGCTCAGGGGACAACTCATTTATGAGATACATATTTCTGTGACTGTGCAGAATCTTCTTGATCCGAGATGAGCTTTTCCGAACAAAATCAATGAAATTAAAGTGTGTCTAAACACTAATTTGTCAAGGGCGAAGCCTCCTCATCAGCGTTGCAGATCATCCGGCTCTCTCATACTGCCCCCTCTTGGTGAGAGAAGCAGCCCTGAACAACAGACTGATCTCAGCTCCTGTTCCGTCTGGTCCCTTTCAAACTGCCAGAATGATCCTTTAGTTCACGTTGTAATTGGTCTCGCACCCCTGCTGTGCTCGCTCACCAGGAGTTGATGACTAAAAAATGTTTTAGGACTTGCACCAAATTATAGTTGCCATGGAGATAGCTTGATGTTTTTCTTCAGCTGTTTTAGTTTTTTTCAAAACCACTCATAAATACCAGACAAAAGAGAAAAAATACACATTAGCATAATTTCATGTTGGGGGGCTGATGTGATTTCTGAGTGCTTTCAGATGGTTGATTAAAACTTCAGACAATATAAACTAAAAGATCCATTAAATCCAACTGCAGAGTACAGACAAAATGGCTGAATAGAGGACTAAACACCAAGGTCATTATAAAGGACAAATAAGTGAGAGGACCACAGGGCTGTGGGGGCCGTCAAGTGTGTGGGGGTATCTGACCAATGTTGACCTCTCCCACCCTGGACACAAACTGTTTGACCCGCTCCCCTCTGGCAGGAGGCTACAGTCCATCAGGAATATTAACAAGGCCCGGGACCCCCACTGTCACATGACTTCAGCCACTCTAGACATATGCATTACATGAATGCACTCTATGCAAACAATTTCTTGTTTTTATTTATTTCATTTAAGTATTGCCAGTTCTGCACAACCCTCAAATGTGCACATTTAGCTTCCTCTCATTCATTTTCCTTAACAATACTGCACATATTTTTTATTTTATTGTATTATTCTAAGTACTTTGCAATAGTATACTGCACATCGTTTTTTTGTATATCCAGATTCCATGTAAATAATTTTCTATATCTTAATGTATAATAGCTTCAATTGTTTTTATTAAATGTTTTGGTTGTTTTTCTTTTTACCTTCTTTAGCTGTGTTTATGTATGCACCATGTACACCAAGGCAAATTCCTCATTTGTATTCCTGCTGCGAGAACAAGCCAAGTACTCACAGCTGGACATCAGATGGCCAACTTCACATACAGCTCTACCATTTCTGCAAGAGGCACTGCATGCATACGTAACCTTTCCAGAATTAACATACAAAACAAACACTTTGAGAAAAGTCTCTGATGCTAATTACTCAGCCTCTCTGCGTGTCATTTCCTGCACTGTTTGCTCTGATGTGCCTTGAAGATTTGATATCTTGTTCTGCCATACAAGTGTATAATTGTGAACACTCTCTCCTGCTCTTGCTTTTCAATTAGTCTCTCTATCTCTCACTGTACATTGTAAGTGCTCGTCTTGGCAGTGTGAAAGAGCAAGTTGACAGCTGAGCAGGAGTATAACAGCTTGTTATTGTTCCTCTTGTCACTCAGGGATGTGTTGACATTTACAGCCCATTTGCATGTTTTCTGTCGTTTCCCTGACAGTTTTTAAAACAATTATTTGACCATTGATGGTGCATTTGATTGCTACATTGCAAAAGAAAAAGAAAATAGCAGAAATGACTAATTTTTTTATTGTCAAAAATCTCCAAACACATACTTTACACTCACACTTCACTTCTATGTAACTGACAAACCCCAACAGTTCTACATGGCTACACACTCAGATTGGTTTTCTTGGTGTTTCAGAAAGCACACAGACTCACCAGACAACGACCCTCGGGAAAGGGGGGGCAACAACATACATTTTTTGGACAGAACAATTACTAATAAGTGCCCAATTAACATATTGCAGCTATCATATGTTTTTAAAATGAGCTACATTTGCAAAACATTCATAAAAAGGACACAAATTGTAAAAACAAAATATCATTCAATCTGTGAGGGGAGAAGGACCTGCCATATGTGGGGTGTGGTGGTATTGAAAGAAGTGATGTCGTCTTTTTAATCCCTTATGTGATGCTGTTTCTCTGTTTGATGAGGTTGGTTCACTTCTTCTTATTCACAATGTTGTTGCAAATCCAGTTCATGCCATCCTGTCGAGGAAATAAAATGAAACCATCCAAATCAGTTTCTTAATTTGAAGATATAAAGCCTCAAAACCATGTAATTAAGCAAATAAAATACATAGTTTGTAGGGTCTAGAGTCTTTTATATGGTTCATTCGGATCCATCTGAACATAAATCAATAAAGACTGACCTGAACTCCCTCCCCAGACACAGCTGAGCACGCCTGAATCTGCCACTCCCGGTCCCGGTACGTGTGCAGGTTGAGGCCCTCTGCGACCTCGCTGGCCGGTGAGGATGTGGCCAGATCCTGCTTATTGGCAAAGATGAGGACTGGTACGCCTTTTAGGTTCTCCTCATCAATTAGCTCGGACAACTCCTGCACATTCACATACAATTGACTTTATTTTAATTTTATAAAACATAACAATGACTTACATATCTAATTAACATTATGTTGTACAGCTGTAATTCTTGTATGCGTATATATCTAGAAGTTATTAATCATTATTTTCATCCTATTTCACTATTTGTAAATCAGCCCACTGATGCTTAATCGGTTTAGTGACAACATACCTCATTAAATATCTATTATAATATAATGAACTTTAGGTATCCTAGTTTTGTTATGATTCAGAATGTACAGTGGGGCAAAAAAGTATTTAGTCAGACACCAATTGTGCAAGTTCTCCCACTTAGAAAGACGAGAGAGGCCTGTAATTTTCATCCTAGGTACACTTCAACTATGAGAGACAGAATGGGGGGAAAGAATCCAGGAAATCACATTGTAGGATTTTTAATGAATTAATTGGTAAATTCCTCAGTAAAATAAGTATTTGGTCACCTACAAACAAACAAGATTTCTGGCTCTCACAGACCTGTAACTTCTTCTTTAAGAGCCTCCTCTGGCCTCCACTCGTTAACTGTATTAATGGCACCTGTTTGAACTCGTTATCAGTATAAAAAACACCTGTCCACAACCTCAAACAGTCACACTCCAAACTCCACTATGGCCAAGACCAAAGAGCTGTCAAAGGACACCAGAAACACAATTGTAGACCTGCACCAGGCTGGGAAGACTGAATCTGCAATACAGTAGGTAAGCAGGTTGGTGTGAAGAAATCAACTGTGGGAGCAATTCTTAGAAAATGGAAGACATACAAGACCACTGATAATCTCCCTCGATCTGGGGCTCCACGCAAGATCTCACCCCGTGGGGTCAAAATGATCACAAGAACGGTGAGCAAAAATCCCAGAACCACACGGGGGGACCTAGTCAATGACCTGCAGAGAGCTGGGACCAAAGTAACAAAGGCTACCATCAGTAACACACTACACCGCCAGGGACTCAAATCCTGCAGTGCCAGACGTGTCCCCCTGCTTAAGCCAGTACATGTCCAGGCCCGTCTGAAGTTTGCTAGAGAGCATTTAGATGATCCAGAAGAGGATTGGGAGAATGTCATATGGTTAGATGAAACCAAAATATAACTTTTTGGTAAAAACTCAACTAGACGTGTTTGGAGGAGAAAGAATGCTGAGTTGCATCCAAAGAACACCATACCTACTGTGAAACATGGGGGTGGAAACATCATGCTTTGGGGCTGTTTTTCTGCAAAGGGACCAGGACGACTGTTCCGTGTAAAGGAAAGAATGAATGGGGCCATGTATCGTGAGATTTTGAGTGACAACCTCCTTCCATCAGCAAGGGCATTGAAGATGAAACGTGGCTGGGTCTTTCAGCATGACAATGATCCCAAACACACCGCCCGGGCAACGAAGGAGTGGCTTCGTAAGAAGCATTTCAAGGTCCTGGAGTGGCCTAGCCAGTCTCCAGATCTCAACCCAATAGAAAATCTTTGGAGGGAGTTGAAAGTCTGTGTTGCCCAGCGACAGCCCCAAAACATCACTGCTCTAGAGGAGATCTGCATGGAGGAATGGGCCAAAATACCAGCAACAGTGTGTGAAAACCTTGTGAAGACTTGCAGAAAACATTTGACCTCTGTCATTGCCAACAAAGTGTATATAACAAAGTATTGAGATGAACTTTTGTTATTAACCAAATACTTATTTTCTACCATCATTTGCAAATAAATTCTTTAACAATCAGACAATGTGATTTTCTTTTCTCATTTTGTCTCTCATAGTTGAGGTATACCTAGGAGGAAAATTATAGGCCTCTCTCATCTTTTTAAGTGGGAGAACTTGCACAATTGGTGGCTGACTAAATACTTTTTTGCCCCACTGTATATGCATGCAGAAATGACATCAAGCTCACCAGTCCCGTCTCTTCAAACCGCTTCTTGTCTGCACTGTCAATTACATAAATCTGAAAGTACAAATATGTTAGGATTATATTAACTGACAAGTAAACATAGACAATGAATGAAAGGACAGTTTCCTTTTGGCCTGAACTTCTAGTATAGATGCTGCACTACAGCAGCCAAACAGACAGTGTTAATCGAGAACAGAAGATACCCTTGCCATCTATTCAAAAATGTTCCACAACATTAATGTAAAACTTACTATTTACTTCAACAATATACAACTTTAGTGCTTAATTTATGCATGTATGATGTGATACCTTTCATGGATGTCATGGATTTGTTTTGCTTCATATTCTTTTGTGTTGTATTTTTAGTAAAGCCCTGTTTAAACGCCATGAGGACTAGAATCGTCTTTGGGGTTGCAAATACAGGATATAGCGTATAAAGGAAATGTCTCCCATGGGAAAATGTTGAACTGATTAAAACGTTTATTCACTCACCAACAGGTCTGTGTTTTCCAGGTACTTTTTCCAAAAAGGCCTGATCTTCCTTTGTCCTCCAATGTCCCAAACATTGAGTTTCATGCCATTAGAGGCAACACTCTTTATGTTGAAGCCCTGAAGTGAAACACAAAACTGGAGTCACTGTACTGTACATCACTGCCTTCAATTTAACACAGTTACAGTACGTAGCACCTGGAAAGCCTTGCAAATGGTTATGAAGCAATTCATTGAGCGGCAGTGTACTCTAGCACAGGTGTGTGTACTAAATGAATCACTGTTTAATCACTCTGTATTGTAACCTTGTTACGCTTCAGCAGGAGAGCAACAGGTGCTCTGGTCACTGTGTTAATCCAAAGCTGTTTTTCATAACAACGTTCCTTTTATTTAAGTTGACGAGATTGTATCACAACTTTATCCTAAGGGTCAGCGGAGGAGCAAATCTAAAGATAAGACTGGAAGGATCAAGTGCCGTGTATGTGTTTTGGTTAAGTGTGGTTTGGCTTTGTGGTGACTTGTCATGCAGGACTGCATGCTCTCTGCCTGATGAGCCTTCACACACATTAAGGACCAGGCCATACATCTGACCCATGTCTTGACTTGTGAGAGTAATGGAAGGGTATTAGATCATGTGATTAGATGTTAGACAATCACATCACAAGAGGGTGACAAGAAGGTTTTACTAAAACGAAAGGATCTTCCCTGAAAATGTGTTGAGAGCATGTCAATCAGGGAGGTAGTTTCCTGCCGAAAGGTTATTCCCTATATAAGACTTAACAGGATGATCCTCAAATCATCCTGTTGCTTGTTGAATGTTTTAATGTGTGTACTGTTAGCCCAATCATTTATTTCACAGTGTGTCAGAATGCAAAGGTCATCCGAATCCCATTACTTTAGCGACAGCGTGCACTGCTCCAGCGGGTCTCACAATATTAAATACAATCCCCCTGCCTTTTATAATGCTCTCTAACAGTGCCATGAAAATACAAAAAAACATTTGAAGAAACTTTCATTCACAGGAAAAGATTCAGGAAAAGGATTCAGTGAGAGCAGACAAATTGATATTTAAAGAGTGATAACTTGTTGGTTAAAGACATTTTGAGGATATTTTTCCTGGCAAATGCTCCCGTTATATTTGAAATACGCGACATCATCAACATCTGGTGATGATGTTTTTAAGCCGCTCAGTTGTTCATGGTGAGACAAATTAATTTAAAAAAAGGACACAAAACACATACTGCGAAAAGTGACTTTCCCTAAGGTTTTGATGTGTGTGTGTGTGAGTTTCATAACATATACATTCCCCTCACCTGTGTTGGTGTGATGGTGCTCACATCCTCAGAGGCGAGGCTCTTCAGCAGGGTGGTCTTGCCGGCGTTGTCCAAACCCAGAAGCACTATCCTGACTTCCTGCTCTGTGGATCCCTTCAGTTTCTCAATGACAGAGAGTAAGCCCTGCAGGTGGCGGAGGAGGGGTGGTGGTGGGAGAATAGAGGCGACCATAAACTTATTTCAACGTTCACTCAGCATATTTCAGTATTTGTTGAGTATCCTTTTCTTCTGGGAAAGTCTCAATGACATGTCATTTGATTAACCTTTTATTATGTTTTGGTTTAGGATAAAAAAGCATATGGGGTCAGCTATTTCAATATTATCTTCTTGGAACACCAGAATATTACTAGGAGAAAAATATAGTTACATTTTTCAAGGTTGCATTATTTCCTTGCAGTACTCTGAAACATCCAACCTAATACCTAATAAAAAGGCAGTTTTCAGAAAGACTTTACACCTGAAAACCGATCCTACTAACCTCTTTCTGATTTGAGGTCAAAGCACCTCTTACGTACAGCACTGTTGACTCTACACATGCGCGCCCAATTTGCTCCACCCACAAACCAGCACCTCCCTCTCTTCCAAATATATAGCCTCTATTCCTGTAAGCATCAATCTGTTGCTTTATTTAGAAAAAGCACTGGTCTTGATTAGAGCCTCATTCACAAAATGGTGTTCTTTTTAATGTGATTAGTCTAAAGCAAGGTTACGCAATCTGCCACACAGCTAACAAAGGAGACCCTATAGCTTTAAACACTTCCTTCAAAGTGATAGATACTACAGTGTATGTGTGATGAGTTGTACACAAAAGGGTATTAGAGGTGACATTTGGATTTATTACCATTTTATCAACACTATCTGACAAAATGAGCAGTTTAGATAATCCAACCATCATAGCAGAGCTGCATCACAACAGCTACTATATTCTGCCAAATCAAGTGATTGTTTCACACATTTGGAAACTTTGTATAATTACTTTGATAGCCACTTGTAGTTAGTTCCTAGTCAACAAATACTAAATATTACTAGTCAGGTCTCTTACCTTTTGAGCTTCTCCCATGATGGCGAGTTTCCTGTTACTAGACTGGAGGGCTGCAGCTACATCTCCAGTGAAGCTCTCACAGGTGTGTTAGCTTTCCAGTCACCCAGGTTAGCTATCTAGAAAAGGTACCAACAGCCTCTATCTTTTCCCTCGCTCTTCTCTCTAAACTTGAGTAGGTAAAGGGCTATGTGTGTATGAGATAGAAATGTCTACCTGGGCGTCAATAGCTCCTCTCTGCCACCTTGGAGTTAGCGAGGAGGAAGAGGGGGAGGGTGGATGTTACTGGGATTAGGAGGCCAGAATTAGCCCTAGTCACCCATGCAAAGGCCACCCCCCCCCATCTTTGTCCATCCCTCCATCTCCACTTTGCACTGGCTTTACCTGGATTATCCCTTAGCCACCTGCTATAGGAGGAAATGCTATAAACAGTTCTGATATACTCACACGGATGTTATGTGTAGAAAATAGAAACATGTTTGAACAAGTTGCCATATGGCTGATGGGGAAAACTTGCCTTTTATGCAGAAAAATATTGACCCTAAGAGCATGGACTGACAGCATGGAGTTTAAGGCATACACTTCAAAGGATTATGTCATGTAGTTTAACCAGGCAACTTACTTACTATTTCAGTGTTTGTAAATCAACCCTAAAATCCCACATCATCCATCTCTTGGGAGAGGATAGCATTAACATCTCATATATCCATTACATGCCAGCCGCTATTAAACTGCTGTGTGTGTGTCATCTAAAGTGTGTATTCCTGTAAGTAGAGCATTCAACAGGATTAGTTTGAGAGAGCCTGTCCTGTATCAAGATTAAAACATTTCTAGATGCTTTTCCACAACCGGTCAGAGGGCGGGGTTTACATGAGTGCTGTGTTGAACAAATCATCCACCCTGGTCTTGAAATGGCTATTCATAAACCCAGTAACGTCAGCTGATCACAGACACTTAGCCTTAAAGACAGAGATTAAATGGGTTTTATTCATGCATCAAATACAACAACAACAAACGATGAAACAATATGGCTGCTCTAGATCTAAGGTTAATAGACTGGTTGTCGTTTAGGATTCTCTTGGTGTGAAAGCAGCGGCCCTCTGCTCCAAGGTGGCCTTCTGCCTCATCCTCTCTCTGTGTTTAGCTGCAGAGAGAGTTCAAAGGTGTCATACTTTATACTTTACAATAATACAATTAAAATCTGTAGTTCAAAATTGAGTCATATGAAAAAATTACAGACAGTTTTGGAAGTACGTCGATTTGCATTTTTGCAGAGTTAGATGAAACAGCAATACCACATACATTTCTTAACTGTAAAAATGTTGCTTGAGTCGACAGCCGGTTAGCTTAGCTTAGCATTAAGAATAGAAAAAGAGAGAGAACGCTGGCCTGGCTTTGAGAGAAAAAAGTCCACCTCTGAGCACCACTTGAGCTAACTCATTAACTTGTTAGTTTAATTGTGAACAGTAAAAATACTGTACACAATAAATAAAAACTTCAGCGATTTCCAGTGCAGACCATTTAGTGGCAAGGGGTGGTAACGTCCACAATGGCTGCCCGACAACTTCTCCTGGCAAAAACCTCTGTAAAACTGCAACTTTGTTGGTCTTGAATTTGTGTACAGATTTAACAGATATAATGTGTTGATTGGAAGTACTTAGATGACGATTGGTTGAATGTGTTAGATTTCGAGGCAGCTTAGTTGTTTAGCTCTTTCCAGCATTTATGCTATGCTAAGCTAAACTGCCGACTGAAGCCTTATATTTTATAGACAGAAATGTGGGATAACAGTCTTCTCATAAATGCCTTTGCAAGAAGCAAAATAAGTGCAATATAAATACATATAATACTCCTACACTTTAGTTAACATAGTGCTGCATTATATCTATCATCACTCTTTTTTTAATAAAAACAATCTAGTTAATTGAATAAATAAAAAAAGAGATGCTTTAAAACTCCTGTATGATGCCAAAGATAACCTCAAATGAGCTCTTACCGTTGTCTCTTTTCAGCTTGAACTTCATAACCAGCCCCATAACCAAGACCAGGACCAGAGCGGAAACACCACAAACCACCAGTAACAACAGCGAATTGTCTGGATGAGGAAACATTTCATAAAAGGCAGGAAAATAAACATTCTATCAACAGTCATTGAGGTGTATTTATAACTATTCATATTTTAGCTAAATCTTTAAGATCTGTCATTTCAAATTCAGAAATTGTACGATGCAAAATAGTTATGTCTATGTCATCTGTGACTGTGTGATATAAACAGGGAGATGTCTACTTACTCTCTACAGTGACAACATGTGGCAGAGACTGATAATTGCCACACAAGTTCTCCATGAAGCAGATGTACGTGCCTGCTTTGTTTGACAACACCTTTTTGTCATGCAGCTCACTTTCGTTCTGGTCCTGAATTGTGACTCCATTAATCTTCCACCCAAATGTATGATTCACATCGGGAAGGTTATGGACACATGTTAGAATGAGGTCGTCGCCCTCCACAAGTTTGGAATCATTGCTGCTGATAGAAACCTGAAAGCCTGATGGGCAGGGTTCATATTTGAGGGGAATAACACAACTGTGATAGTGTAAGGTAATCAGATGATTGTTACTTAATGTGTTTGGTAAGAGGTTACCTGTTGTGCAGTTTGATGGAACATCTGATAATAGAGAGAATAGTAAACATGGAAATGAATACAGTCACATTCACATTTTATTCAAAAATAATGTTTTTAAAATATAAATAGACCCACACTTACTTATTCAACTCAATGAAACACGCATAAATACACCATATAAGAAGAATAATGAAACTTAAAAATGAAAAACATTTAAAAAGAAAAATAGCACTCACCACTGATGCACTGTGTTGCATTGCAGAGTTCACAAGGGTCTATAAGGAAAACAGAAGCGCAAAGCATAGGATTAAGAACATTTATCTTTGCATCTCAACTCACAATTGTTTGCCTATCTGTAGTCTATAAATAGTAAGAGGTTATTAATACTTCATTTTTACCTGCCCCTGTTGTTGTGGTGTTACATCTCAGACACACTTTATTAGCACAGGTGGAGGTAGCACCTGCTAAAATAAAAAATAAATAAAATGATATGTTTTGGGTGTAGAGCTAAACAGACATATACATTTATGATAAATAGGAATATAATATATATATATATTATATATTAAGAAGTGGCTCCTTACCTTTGATGAGATAACCAAGCAAAAGGTATAGGGTTACCCCTCTCACAACCATTCTCTGTTGGAAAACATAATTAAATTAAATAAGTTCAACAGTAGAATGAGATCAGGAACGTTATGAATAAAATAAAGCAACATTTAAGAAAAAAATAGGAATACAAAATGTCACAGCACTCACAATTCTATCATCTTGTGCATGATGTATAACATAATCATGAAGGTAGAAAATAATGATCAAAGGTTTGCCTTTACCTGTGGTGTGTTCTCTCCTCACTCACAGAGTTGAATGATGATCTGCTCTGTTTTGCCTAGCCTTATGGTCTTTGCTTCAGGAAGGCATGGCAGAGCTGATCATAAACACTGATACCAATGCAAATAAATCATTTCCTGGAACTTCATGGCGCAAATAATATCTCGGTTTGTATGTTTCATAGCTGGGAGTGACGGCCATGATGACTTTTAGACTGCTGGTGCTATACTTCTAATGGTGTGGGGTAACATTAAGGCTAAAATTAGGGGATTTTGACTATTACAAAAAGAATGTTGAAGGAGAAATAGAGAAATGGACATGTAATATGAAAGACAAAGACAGAGGTATGCTGAAGGATAACTGGTTATAAGCAAAACAATAATTTACTTATGCAAAGTCTAATGTGACACATACCAGAAATAACTTCGCTCAGAATAGATGGGTTTAAAGCCAATTTTGGGAGAGCAGGAAATTAAATATTTTCTATCATTTAAGTAATCAATTGCATTTATACATTTACATACAGTCTATGATTTATACACAGTATCATACACATTAGGTATTCATGCAGTGGCCAGTAGAGAGTGCTGATTATCCATCTAATTTCTTAACCCCCTTTAGGGTCTAGACCTAGAGGACTGGAGAATATCCCAGCATGCACTGGAAAATAAGCAAGGTGCACATTGGAGAGAATGGAAAACACAAACACCATCACACTCCTAACAGCCAAAGGCGGAGCAATTAGGAGTTTAATATAATCAAACCTGTGTGTGCTTGGTTCGTGGGAGTACAAAAGAGCATCAGAGAAAACACACATACACATCGTGAACATGCAAACTCTGCATGGTAAACAAAAAAAAAATGGTTTTGGGATTCAAATAGTCTCTGAGTCACTTTGACTCTCTTCTCAACATGTAATGTACTGGAATGAATATCAAGTTCCATACATAAAATAGGCTGGAAGTGTTCCCTCATCCATCTGTGTTTCCTGTTACCTTAACCTCAACCAAACCATAGCCTAACCCCATCCCAGTGATGAAGGTCAACAGTATTGTATCATAAGGGTAGCAGGTTTTGGGTAATATCAATCTGGATTGTGTGCTCATCCTGACTCCAACTGAAGTTATAATGTTTTTGATTCAAGGATTTCTTTGTGAGCATTGAGATCAACTTTAACCTGTTTTCTACTTACTTTTACATTGTTGTGTAGTTTTTAAGTTGATTACATTAATTGGTCAACCAAGTGAATACTATTACATAAAATAATCGTTATTCATTTCCCTTAATTAAATGGCAGCAGCTGCCAAATATTTCAACAAATATTCAGTTTATGACAGGATACAGGATCCACTCTCTGTGACCAAAACTCTGCAGCATCAGCTGCACTTTTGTTCTACACACTAGTTATATTGTAGCCTAAAAATGTATGTATTTTTGTCCTTTTCTTATCTTTCTATATTTAAGTTTTTATTTATATTTAAATACTTGCAGTACTTTGCCTGTATTTTTATTTCCAATCAGGGTTGCCAACTTTGGGTACCTGGCTGGAGTGAGATTTTGATATCATGGGTTTAATTACACATATGCGCACTAAATGCCTTGCCTTGGGTCTCGCCATGCTGCTTCCCTGATGGCTCCCACAGGATTGTAGCTGACATCCTCGTGGATTCATCTTCTTATTACAGACACATGCATTTCCTAACATTCGGTCTATATGCTGTAAAATGTATTATCTCTTCGATTTACACACGGCATCTATTGCACGTCTGTCCGTCCTGGGAGAGGGATCCCTCCTCTGTTGCTCTCCCTGAGGTTTCTCCCATTTTTTCCCCTTAAACTGTGGGTTTTTCTCTGGAAGTGTTTCCTTGTACGATGTGAGGGTCTAAGGATAGAGGGTGTCGTTTTTTTCATACTGATATTCTGAACAATCTGTGTTGTTGTATTTGCTGTAAAGTGTCTCAACTGTAGACTATTTTTATTATATGTACAGCAATTTGGCTCGACCAAAAATCGTTTATAAATGTGCTATATAAAACTTGATTTGATTAAATGACTGGTATCGTGTCAGCAGCGGGACCTTAGCATATATATATACAAATACACAATATTGGACACAGACTATAAAGGGCACAAAGTTTCATTCACTAATGAAAGTCAAACACACTGTTTTATTGTGTGCCTGTCGCGATAAGGCCTATTCTTTCACACACAGTAACGTCACAAGCTACCCACAATGCAATACGCGCCATATATATATATATATAAATACGCCATTTTCATGGAGGTGCAAATATCCTGGAAGTGCAAATATAAACAGCTAGCTAACGTAGCAAGGCAGAGCGCACTAGGTTTTTTTTCTGAATTAACGACCGAAGAAATCGCTGCATGTCTTCGGATTACATCTCTGGACTTGAGGGGTGTGCTTTAGGTCCTTACCAGCGTAAACTAGAGCTGTGTGGGTTGTCCGATTGCCCTTACAGACTGCGTCGATTTTGGCTGCATCTACGTCTAATTTCTGGAAACACCAGGTGAATACCCCACTTGTCACAATAATATTATCATGCCATTGCATATATGTGGTATTTTAGAGTTGACTAGATATTGATTAAGGCAATAGACTATGATATTCAGTACAGGAAGCTTAGCAATACCTAGACGGTGTACGGCTAAACCCTTGGCCTGCTTGCACCTCACGTAAAACGGCAGATACCGGAAGTACGGTGTCGCCCTCGGCCCAATACCCGTATGTGTGTGTGAAAGAATACATGAAACACACACACATCTACAGACTTACTCCAAACTGCCAAATATATTAATTAACACACTCACACTCATATACTCTTTGACTCTATTTTGGCCTAGTAGAACAATAAGCAGCAGACTTTAATTTTGTTATCATTTGTACTGGATCTTAGATCTGCGCATGCGCAATACGGGTCGGGGATTGACCAACCGGCTCCCACTGCTCTGCTGTCTGTTAACGTTGTTAAGAGTGGTGGGGGCGGATCAACAGCTTGAGCAGCTGTCAACTCAACATTGTAAATAACCAACCAAAAACGATCGCCGGTGTTATGCCGTAGGTTGAAGCCTTGCCGTGGATTGAAGCCCTGTTCGCGGGGACGCGCAAATGTGACGTCATCGCCTGTATTGAGCGGTCGCCGTTTTTTCACCCTTTTCAAAGCTTTTTTCTCTCTTTTGAATGATATATCAGATTAAACAGCAAACGGCTGAATCAATAATGTGCATACAATTGCGAGGAGGCTCGTTTTAAGGACACGTTTTTCAGATCTGTCACAATCTTCGTATTGGAATAAACTTCCGTTTTTGAGTGTATAGTCCCACTCTGTTATATTCCTCCTTCCTACAGAACAGACAATGACAGGATAATATGTGATTTGTCAATAGTCCTATTTCTTAAAACCTTCTCTGTTGTTTAAGTGTCTGATAACCATGAATAGTAAGCTATGATATAACAGTAATGATATCACATGATCATGTCAGACAGACACTGTGTTATTTTCAATCAAGCCTAAAAGATAATGTGTTCAAACTGGCTTCACTCACTTGAATTGCTCCTTTGAATATCATTTTTATATATCCCTACTCAACACATGTTTGCATTGTAATGCCACTCATATATATTTTTTAAATTGTATTTTAAGGTGACATTGAATGCTTTGAAAGGTGCCCTAAAATAAAGTGTATTATTGATCTTATATCTGTGCCTCTATTACATTACATTTCATTTTCTATCACACTATTAATGTTCCTTATTTTAGACTAGGTTAATCCTGGTGTCAATAGGGAAGATCTGCACTGTTCTCTACATAACATGTTCAGAGCAGGTATTTCTCCTGCCGGATTTGGAACCCCCCCCTATATCTTTCTCCAGGACAGTCACAACTTCACCAAAATCACACTGGTGCTTGCTGTTCCCCTCTAGTTTATGCTCACAAAAGCATTTTACTCTGGGCCCTGCAGGTGAAAAACTGCTTCCAAATCCGGCAGATCAGGTGTTGGTGCTGCCGGATTTGGAAGCCCCTCTTTAGTTTTTCACCTGCAGGGCCCAGAGTAAAATGCTTTTGTGAACACAAACTACAGGGGAACAGCAAGCACCAGTGTGATTTTGGTGAGTCTGTGACTATCCTGGCCAAAATTACAGGGGCGCTTCAAAATCCGGCAGCTCTAACAACTGCGCTGCCGGATATGGAAGCCCCTCTTTATTTTTGTACCTGCTGGGCCCAGAGTGAAATGCTTTGGTGAGCATAAACTAGAGGGGAACATGCAACACCAGTGTGATTTTGGTGACATTGTGACTATCCTGGCCAAAATGACAGGGGGCGCTTCAAAATCCGGCAGCTCTAACAACTGCACTGCCGGATATGGAAGCCCCTCTTTAGTTTTTGACTTGCTGGGCCCAGAGTGAAATGCTTTTGTGAGCACAAACTAGAGGGGAACAGCAAGCACCAGTGTGATTTTGGTGAAGTTGTGACTATCCTGGAGAAAGATATAGGGGGGGGTTCCAAATCCGGCAGCACCAACACCTGCTCTGCCGGATTTTGAAGCCCCTCTTTATTTTTGTACCTGCTGGGCCCAGAGTGAAATGCTTTTGTGAGCACAAACTAGAGGGGAACAGCAAGCACCAGTGTGATTTTGGTGAAGTTGTGACTATCCTGGAGAAAGATATAGGAGGGGTTCCAAATCCGGCAGCACCAACACCTGATCTGCGGGATTTGGAATCCCCTCTTTAGTTTTTCACCTGCAGGGCCCAGAGTAAAATGCTTTGGTGAGCATAAACTAGAGGGGAACATGCAGCACCAGTGTGATTGTGGTGAAGTTGTGACTGTCCTGGACAAAGTTGTAGGGGGGGGGGGGTGCGATATCTGGCAGGAGAAATACCTGCTCTGCTGAACATGTTATAGAGAACAGTGCAGATCTAAAATAAGGAACATTAATAGTGTGATATAGACACAGATATAAGATCAATAATACACTTTATTTTAGGGCACCTTTCAAAGCATTCAATGTCACCTTAAAATACA